AAAAAAAAAAAGACTTGAGAGTTCTTTTTAAATGTTTCAGGACTTGGGGAATTCTGACTGGGTTAATGTTTAGGTTCATGTTTGGAGGTCAGAGATAAAAAGAAAATGAAAAGACATAAAGAAAAGGGATAGATTAAGAAGCTAAGTGGCTTGATTCATGAAACAGGCATAGAGTAAGAGAGCCAGGGAGAGAAATGTTTGTGTTTGTGTGTATGTTTTGCGTGTGTGTGAGAGAGAGAATACAAGAATGGTGTCAACATAAGAAAAGAGAGAGAGTTACAGAGAGCTAGAAGTAGGCAGAAGTACCCATTTGAGCTTTTTCTTTACAAGGTTTAGGGACTGGACTCAAGAGTACTCATATCAGATGTAACAGTGACATTTTTTACTATCTCCTAACATATTCATAGATTTTTATCTTTGTTCAAATAATAGTACTTGAATTAAGGCCTTTGAGAAAGATTATTTCTTTTGTTTATAAGATCAAGTCTTTTTGAATGAAGTAAATCATATTATGTTTTGAAGAGCAACTTCTTCTTACTTTAAATTGCATCATGTATCCTGGTTGTATAATGAGTTCCCGGGAAGAGAGAGCATTGTGAGTCTTGTCCTTCTTTTTATTTGGCCAGTAGAGGTGGAAGGATGGATTGCCACAGAATCCTGCCGTCCTTACTGCATTTGGGTAAAAACTCCAGTTTTCTTCATGGGAAGTGCCTTCTGTTAAGGTAAATTGGAAGCAATATTGCATGTTATTCTCTTGAACTGAGTGGTTTATTGTTGAATTACTTAAAAGCTCCAGCTTTTGCTTACCCTTTAAGATTTAAGATGGTATAATATATGAATCGAAGGTAAGAAATCAAATTTAGAAAAAAAAATTAAATGCTAGTATAATGATCATCCAACTTTTGAAATGTAACTGGTATCACAGGTAACTTGGACCATTACAAAATTCTTCTTGGTATACTTTTTAAACCAGTGCAATATGTATCTCTGTGGTACAGAAATTCCTAAAGAAAATAAAACTATTTTGGGGTATTGAAATTTCAAAATACATTTAAAGCTAGACATTTTGCCTTAAGCAAGTTTATTAAATTTTCAGTTGACATTTCAACAAGAAGCCAACCTTGAAGAATTATAAACCACTGGAAAAAATAATAGTGAACATCTGTTGAGCAGTGAATAAATGACAGGCACTCTTCTAAATGTTTTTCACATAGAAATTCATCTGAAGACATAAGCAGATAAAAAGCTCAAAGGGAAAACAAAAAACAAAAAAAAAATGCTTCTTTCTTACCATCATCAAAAGTGTCCACTAGTTGACTTGGATTGATTTCTGCTCCTCCAATTAAAATGTTATCTAGTGCCCACTGAGCACGCTCAACCCCAGAGACCACAATTCCATTGCTGATCACAAAAGGCTGCCACCAGCGAAGTCGAGTTGTATTGGTTAGAGCATCCTCGGGAAGGAGTATGTAGTCATGTCTAACAGAAATATATTTCTGGTAATCCATCTCATGGAGCAGAGTCCATGTAACTCCTGTAATAACAAATTTACCAACATAGTAACATATCTGGGAAAACAAAACAAACAAAAAAACAACCAGCACACTGCAAAAACTAGAAACTTCCAAAGAAATCTTCAACCAGGAAATGAGAAGCTAATATAGGTGACTTTAATGTAAGTGTTCACCACTTTTAAACACTGTCTCAAAATGAGGCCAATGATACGGGGCGGGGGGGGGCATTTAGAAATAGCTTGCTCATAATTGAACTGTAATAACTGAATTTGATCAATGTAGAGGATAGCCAAAAATAAAACCACCAAAATGAACTTTAAAAA